CGCTGCCACAGGCCAGATAAAATGGCTTGGTGGGCCATATGTTGGACAAGCCTGCTCTAAGTTAACCCTGGATGGATATGGTATCAGACTAAAGCACTTTACCACATCTAAAAATGGCTTCTTATGCTGAAGTTCTTCAGCTCTAGCATAAAAACATCCCTTCCAAATTGCAATGCAATGAAGATAGCAGCTACTTTATTTTTTAGTGTTATGTAGCTTAAAATATTAACGCACATAGTAAGCACTGTGCAACTGCTTAGAAAGCATGATTACTACGGTCTAAATAAAACACGCCCTAAGTCTAAAGTACAACAAACCTCTTATAAAACATTTGTTTGACTTGTTTTACATTATCTTAGTCCTCTGGACAGGGCTGGATCAGGCTGTGAGTTGGACAAACAGCTGTTTGTCATTCCCAGCCCCAGCACTGCATTGGAGCAGCAAGGACTTCTGGTATTATCTCTATGAAGCAGTTCCACGATAGCATAACATGTGCTTGAAAGTGTGAGCACTCATGTTTTAAATGCAGTTAACACATCCTAAGTGTAATGTGTGACAAGGCCCTAATTAATGCTCGTGAAATATCCATGCAATGTCACATATGCATGTTTTATATTCATCAGGCTGTACTTCTGCTCAGGTTTACATGCTGTGCAAACACACTGATTTCTGTAAGCTTGCATATGGTTTAAGTCAGAGCAGAACTTAGACCATTTCATTTTTACATCCAAATCACCTGGTCCAATCTGACCGACAAAAACTCTTGGTATTTTCTGATGTTTATTATATCCTGTGGTCAACTGCTTTCATGCAGTGCATGCAGTATTAACTTATCTCCACATACTTCTGAAGAGTGAGGCTCAGGTTGTAGCTGGCTGATTTGATCTTGTTCTGGGCTTCCAGGTGGGTCATGCCATCTGTGTTGACTCCATCAATGGCCACCACAAGGTCCCCCTGATTCATGTGTGACTGGGCTGCCTTGCTACCTGGAGTGATCTGTGAGGGAGAAAAAAACAGAAATTGTCTTCATGATATGCTATTTTGTGTGCAAAATGTTTTTCGAGAACAAGTCCTATCCAGCGTTACTGGGGAGGGGTGTCTTCTTCATTCACCTCAATACCTGCACATAACAATGTTACTGGAAGGTAGGCATACTCATGACCCTGCAAAGGTCAATATGCCACTTAAGGTCTATTATCTCTTTATTTTTGATAAAGACAGAACAGGTAGTCTCAAATTTTCTTTATATAGTGAAATCCAATATGAACACTACTGAACAGGTTATTACTGTTCATATAATTGTCATGTTATTTATCTAAGGAGTGGTATTCATTAAAATGTTTTATTGTCAGCCCAGATTTGACCGTAAAAAAGTTAATCAAATTACCAAACTAAATTAAATGAAATGACACCATTTGAGGACCTGGTCTCTTATGAGTACAGAGTGACTGATAACTGTTTTTCAAGGCTAAAAGGATTTTTCTGCCAGTTTCTTCATCTACAGAGGGTGGCAAATAGGTCAACTACAACATAATAACCATTAGAAATGAATCATTTCCCCTGTTCCAAAGTGCACTCATTTTCAGATCCACTGTTGCCTTACATTTTGTGATTATTATTATCCGCAATGCAGTCATGCCTAAAAAAACCTCAGGGAGCTACTAAATTGCTAGGTGTCATACAATTTTCACATAAGATCAAGATTTTTTTTCTAAAATCAATTTTATTGTCTAAAACTGAGAAAAGTAAGTAAATGTGATGGTGTGAGGATCTCCAGTTTTTTGTTCCGCCTCAGTTGCATTCCTTTCTTCTCTTTTATAGCAAGGATCACCAAGATTGCCTAGGGTTTGGATGAAGAACACCTGGCTGAGGCAGAACCTGACCGATGTGATGCTAGTGGAAAGATGAAAACACTTTGAAGAGTTTGCAGCCACTGTGCACTCTGAAGGCATGCGGCAGCTACTGGTCATGCCTGTCTGTTATTTATAGGTGCTCACAGTACTAAAAACTCATGTAGCAGCTTCCACATATAATGCTTTCTACCGTCTCAGGCTGGTTCAGAGACTCTCTCTCATATTGGCAGGCAGTAGCCTGCCCTCAGATATATATACCTTTGTCATCTTGTATCTGGACTTCATATTTATGTACCTCAATAAGAAACTATCAGCCCTAAGAAAACTCCAACTAGTAAACAACACTAATGGTAAGCAGGTTCAGATTCAGCACCTTGTTCTTAGCTTTACACACAAAATTACATGGGTCCAGCATATTACCCAGTTGAAAACCTTGATTAATAACTACACTCCTTGGCTACCTTTACATGTGCTCGGGGGTGGGTGTTTTAATTAGAGAGGTTTCCAGAGAGCCACTCTAACTAAAATGCCTCATTGTCACATGTATTAAGCCCCTGCAGGTTTAAAAATAGCTGTGAGATGCTTTATCTAAATCTCATTCAACAAAATAATGGCTGTCCCCCAGCAGCCATTTTTAAACCACAGGGGTTTATACACATGCCCATGAGGCCACGCTGGGGTGTTTTAATTAAAATGTGGAGCTGACTCGATTGAGTCTGCTCTGATGTGTTCTAATTAGAACACAAACCAGCATATATAGCGACCCCAAGTCTAATGGAGCTCTCTGCCACAAAGGTATAGCTCATCTGGGCAAAAATCAGATCAAAATTGTGGAACAAACCTCTAAGGAAAGGAGAGGCCCTCACAAACTTTACCACATTCCAGCCTAAGTCAGAGTTAAAGTTAAAAGTCTTTTTTTCCTTCACCATGTACATACATTTCAAAACAAACAAACAAACAGAAAACAATCTACCAAAACAAACCACTGAACTGCACATGCAATCCTCCCCCTGGAGAGAAGATGAGAAAGAGAATGAATCACACATGATAGATATTAGTCATTTTGCTGAATGCACTATTAGAAGGTGCTCAAAATCAAGAACCCAAGCAGAACAGAACAAACCGTGGCCCTGGGAGTTGCCAACACTGTAATGGGACACAGCACACTAAGTGGTTGAAGGCTATACTTTTAAGACATAAAGTAATTTGCAATCCAGTCACTATAAATAATATATAGCCGGAGTGGACCTTACTGGAGTAGGGATCATTCTTTAGCTCCTCAACGGAGATAAACCCAGTAAGAAATGCATGTACTCTGAATCAGATAGAAATGTATTAAAGTTCTCTGCATTTACTTTAAATTTTTTATTAATACCAGCAATTAATGGTAGAAAAATGTTCTACCAGAAAAATGTTCTCTCTGTTTTTTTCTGATCTTAGGAAACTGGAAAAGTTTAAGTCAGTCTCAAGAAAGGTATTATGTCCTATGCTTTTTTTGTGTCCTCAGTTGCCTGTATTTGCATTTGGGATGTAAAAAACATGGGACCCAACACATTTCATACTACAAACATAATTAGTCCTAATTCATAGAAAAGTACCAAAGAACTGTGGCAGTTCAAGAGACTCCTATGCTTCAGTACATCTCATTGATCTCAGGGGAAGAACACTCTCTCTCCACTTACATGTGTCATGCTCATACAATCTAGCATTCTGTAAGGGTCAAATGAGATTATAGTTGTCATATTTATTTGCACAAATAATCTAGTTAAACATTCTTCTCACTCTCCAAAATATTCCCACAAATGTAATATGAAAAAAGATGGGTAGAGTAAGTTAACATGGAGATAAGGATCGAATATCCAGACAGTTCAATCAATCAGAATCAAATTAATCTGACAGGACTCTAAAAGATTGAAAATCTTGGCTTGAGTGAGATTTTTAGCTCCTTTATTCAATAAAAGGAAATTGGTTTTCTGTCAGTCTAACACCAAAATGTAAGGCTGGCCGATGAAGGCGCTTAAAAAAAATTATCCAGCCATCATTTCTGCAAGGCACCACTTTCTCACCCACTGAGGAAATGTGCTTTCTCTTGCCAAAGAAGTGTTAATTATGCTGTGCTGCTGACACCTCGAGACTCCAGACTGTTGACTCCCAAGTGCCCTGCACACCTGGTCACGCTTATCAAGAATGAAAATGCATTGTCAAATGTAGGTGACACGTAGGGGGTGCACATGCACCCCCTGAGCATGGCGGTGCACCCCCTGCATAAAGGTGCCACTGACACTGCCGGCGGCGCCTGTGGGCAGTCGCCACTCACCATCCCCGCCCCACCACCACCAACACCACCAGCGGCATCTGCAGCTGGTCCATGATCGCCATTGGCCACTGCCAACACTGGCTGGTACTCACCACCCCCTCCAGCCCTCCCGCCACCGACAGCACTGTGGCCACCTGCAGGAGCTCCCTGCTTGCTGTTGCCATGATCCTGCCACTGACAGCACCACTGTCACCTGTGGGAGCTCGCTATGCCCCACCCCCCAGCCGCTGGGGGCATGCAGCGCTCATGATTGCGAACATGCCCCAAGATGTGGTCCTTCATGAAGGTGCAACTGTGTGTAACTACACAGAAATTCCCTTCATTGGTCTACAGATCTCCTTACATAGACTCATAGATGCTAGGGTCAGAAGGGACCTCAAAGGAGCATCGAGTATGACCCCCTGCCCATGGCAGGAAAAAGTGCTGGGGTCATGTGACCCCAGCCATGTGCTTATCCAAGCCACTAGGAAGAACTCCCTTATTAATCAATGTAGAGTACACAATTGAGAGCTGCAGCCTGGATAGTCAAATAGTGGATTAGGTGAAACGAGTGTTAGTCCCCTGAACCTAACATGCGACTGGTTCCACTGAATTCAACAGCATATTTATATGTGCTTGCAGGATTGGGAGTTGACAAGTTTCTTTTTAGTTGTTCTTTCACCCCCTCTTTTTTAAATTTGGATTCATTTCAAGGCAGATTTTCATTATCGCTTCTCCTAAGAGGTCAGATGTTACTTAATGTTTGGGAACTTACCTATAAATATGTCCCTTCAGATTGTTGACAGCTTTGTAGTTCCTTGAATTTTTTAGTCTGTGCCCTTTTTTTCTTTTATGCAGATCCTGGTTCAGGCACAATTTAGCTTGCTTCCCATTAAGAGCATGAGCAATAAACTGAGAGTTTTGTATGTTTTACAATTGGCTGTTATACTAGAATAATGTTTTTCTTCTTACCTCATTCTTCTTAATGCATTTTACTGTAAATAACTAATGCCACATTATTTTATTGCAACTTTGTAGGATTCTTTTTGATCTATTCAGCAAGAATGAAGCCTGAACTCAAACACTAAAAGGGCATTTGAGATGAAAGGAAGAGTTTTAATTTGGCACTCAGCGGCCTGGAGCCACTTCTAATATTCAGCAACTCAAAATAGCTTTGACTTTGAATACGTCCTGCAGTTCCAGGCAAAGATTTGGCTTTTGTGCGAAGTGCCTTTGACTGGTCTGTCCCAATTGGACAAAAGCAGAGGTACCGCTGCAGCCTCCTGTGGCGGGACCCGAGGCTGGGTTGACCAACCCAGAGAAAGAAATAGAAAGCCCTGAAAAGAGGGCATACTTACCACCCACAGGCAAAGCAGAGCCGCATCGAGAAGGGCTGCTGGCATGATTCATCAGCCGCTTTTATTGCCGGCTGGGAACAGCACTGGCAGATGACGTCACCAAAAATCACTGCCCGGCAGATTTAAAAGCTGGCGGCAGGAAAATGGAGGGGGGAAGCAGGAGAGCGCACCTCTCTATGCGAGCACCTCTCTATTCAACACTGGTCAGGCCACAGCTGGAGTACTGTGTCCAGTTCTGGGCACCCTGCTTCAAGAGGGATGTGGACAACATTGAGAGGGTCCAGAGGAGGGCCACCCGCATAATCCGGGAACAGCAGGGCAGACTCTACAATGAGAGGCTACGGGACCTGAACCTGTTCAGCCTTCACAAGAGAAGGCTGAGGGGGGACCTTGTGACTGTCTATAAACTCACTAAGGGGGACCAGAAGGGTTTGGGGGAGACCTTGTTTCCCCTAGCGCCCCCCGGGATAACAAGAAATAACGGCCACA